TTTCTATTCATCATTTTATAGCAACATATATAAAAAATTTAATATTATTTTATTTTATAATATCATAATAGTTTTAGGCGGCATAACCGGTAATATCTACGGTCTATGGGGTCTAGCGGCGCCTAAACGAACGGCTAGAAAGCTTTTTAAAACACTGCTAAAACTATACATTCTCTCCCATGAAATACTCAAATTTCAAATGTTATAAATACTACTACGTACCTTTGTTGTGGTATAAAAAAAATGTCATCATTTAATAATTTCAAGTGTTATAATCTACTCAGATTTCAAAACGATGCACCTCTTCTATTCACATTGAGAGTACAGAGATTTAATTATGTGGCGTTGCATAGTAATATAGTTGATGGTTTTGTAACCAGTATGAACATTGCATGGAACGGGGTACTTTGTCTTCAACACATTAAGCTATATATCAATGTGAATAGAAGAGGTGCATCGTTCTGAAATCTTATCTTTCTAGATTGATCGGTTTTAATTATACCTATCAAATGAACGTAAATATAGAAATTTCGTGTGGAAAAAGACATGAATACGGCATCTTAAGACCGATCGGTAATCAATTTTAGTGGTGATTATATATGTTTTACTTATCCAGTCGCGATTAGTAATCAATTTTAGTGGTGATTATATATGTTTTACTTATCCAATTGAGAAGTTAAATCATGGACAATACCTTAATGTCGATGAAGCCGTCCCCACTTCGTGTAATGAGTTATGGGGAGGTGGAGATCCCGTAAATCGTCAAATAAAACAACTTAAAACGTTGAAGAAGTCATTGATCGTATCCAGCTCATATTTTCCAAGATCAAATCAAGACCGTTGAAAGGAGTTTTGTAAGAAAATGTTGGAGAAACCGTAGGGTTTAAGAGAAAGACAAGGAAAGAGAAGAACAATGATGTAAATTGCCTATTTTGGTGTATAGGAGTTGTCAAAAGAGGAGAGAGATGAGAAAATTAGGTCAAAATAATGAGCACTAAAAATGGAGACATGTGTTGAGTAACTATTACAAGAGCGACTTATGCTTACATATGGCAATGATATCCTCACTAAAGTGCAACGCTCCTTTTTTGCCCTAATTTCGTAAAGTCTCTCTCCTGCTTCGTCCTTAGGAAAAACCCTAGAAATTTAATCCCTTGCTCTTGATCTTGCTTTTTGAGTAACCATGATTTTGACCACACACTATTTCTTCTATATTTTGTGGTCTATAGGATTTTGCTTTATATGTGTTTCTTGTATTGCCCCGTACGTACGTATACGAATTTAAATGGTTATTACAAGGTTTTATATAAACAAGCACAAATGAGTCCATGAATTAAGTTAGCGGAAAAGGCAGACATATATTGATTCTTTAAACGGAAATATATAAATTTGCTGCAACGCTTAAATTTATTATCTGATTACATTTTCCTTAATTTGCCGAATCACATGTACGGAATTAGCAAGTAACTAATCTAGCTAGGAA